TGGGTGGCAAGTTCGGTGCAATGCTGGGTAGCAGGTTAGATGGAATGCTGGGTAGCAGGCTGGGTGGCAGGTTAGGTGGCAGACTGGGTAGAAGGCTGGGTGGCAGATTAGATGGCAGGCTGGATAACAGGCTGGGTGGCAAGTTAGGTGGAATGTTGGGTGGCAGGTTAGGTGGAATGCTGATTAGCAAGCTGGGTGGCAGGCTAGGTGGAATGCTGGGTAGCAGGCTGGGTGACAGGTTAGGTGGCAGGCTGGGTAGCAGGCTGGTTGGCAACCTATCAAAGGAAGGAAGAGGGTCAGAGGTCACACAGTTGACCAATCAAAAACTAGAGGAGTGGCTGAGATCACACAACCAACCAATCGTAGACTGGGGGAGAGGCTGAGGTCAGGAACTGCTCATTTTAAAGCAGCTACTGCTGAACCCACTTCCTTGCAAAGCCTTAGCTCACATGAAAACTTATTATGGACAGCACCCATAATATATACATGGTCGGCACCCATAATGTATACATGGTCGGCAACCATAATATATACATGGGTGGCACCCATAATATATACATGGTCGGCACCCATAATATATACATGGTCGGCACCCATAATATATACATGGTCGGCACCCATAATATATACATGGTCGGCACCCATAATGTATACATGGTCGGCAACCATAATATATACATGGTCGGCACCTATAATATATACATGGTCGGCAACCATAATATATACATGGGTGGCACCCATAATATATACATGGGTGGCACCCATAATATATACATGGTCGGCACCCATAATGTATACATGGTCGGCACCCATAATGTATACATGGTTGGCACCCATAATGTATACATGGTCGGCATCCATAATGTATACTAATGTATACATGGTCGGCAACCATAATGTATACATGGTCGGCACCCATAATATATACATGGTCGGCACCCATAATGTATACATGGTCAGCACCCATAATGTATACATGGTCGGCACCCATAATATATACATGGTCGGCAACCATAAGATATACATGGTCGGCACCCATAATATATACATGGTCGGCACCCACAATGTATACATGGTCGGCACCCATAATGTATACATGGTCGGCACCCATAATGTATACATGGTCGGCAACCATAATGTATACATGGTCGGCACCCATAATGTATACATGGTCGGCACCTATAATTTATACATAGTCGGCACCCATAATGTATACATGGTCGGCAACCATAATGTATACATGGTCGGCATCCATAATGTATACATGGTCGGCACCTATAATATATACATGGTCGGCACCCATAATGTATACATGGGCGGCACCCATAATGTATACATGGGCAGCACCCATAATGTATACATGGGTGGCACCCATAATATATACATGGGTGGCACCCATAATATATACATGGTCGGCACCCATAATATATACATGGGCGGCACCCATAATATATACATGGTCGGCACCCATAATGTATACATGGTCGGCACCTATAATTTATACATAGTCGGCACCCATAATGTATACATGGTCGGCAACCATAATGTATACATGGTCGGCACCTATAATATATACATGGTCGGCACCCATAATGTATACATGGGCGGCACCCATAATGTATACATGGGCAGCACCCATAATGTATACATGGGTGGCACCCATAATATATACATGGGTGGCACCCATAATATATACATGGTCGGCACCCATAATATATACATGGGCGGCACCCATAATATATACATGGTCGGCACCCATAATGTATACATGGTCGGCATCCATAATGTATACTAATGTATACATGGTCGGCAACCATAATGTATACATGGTCGGCACCCATAATATATACATGGTCGGCACCCATAATGTATACATGGTCGGCATCCATAATATATACATGGGCAGCACCCATAATGTATACATGGTCGGCACCCATAATATATACATGGGCAGCACCCATAATGTATACATGGTCGGCACCCATAATGTATACATTGTCGGCACCCATAATATATACATGGGCAGCACCCATAATGTATACATGGTCGGCACCCATAATATATACATGGGCAGCACCCATAATATATACATGGTCGGCACCCATAATGTATACATGGGCAGCACCCATAATGTATACATGGTCGGCACCCATAATGTATACATGGTCAGCAACCATAATATATACATGGTCAGCAACCATAATATATACATGGTCGGCACCCATAATATATACATGGTCGGCAACCATAAGATATACATGGTCGGCACCCATAATATATACATGGTCGGCACCCACAATGTATACATGGTCGGCACCCATAATGTATACATGGTCGGCACCCATAATGTATACATGGTCGGCAACCATAATGTATACATGGTCGGCACCCATAATGTATACATGGTCGGCACCTATAATTTATACATAGTCGGCACCCATAATGTATACATGGTCGGCAACCATAATGTATACATGGTCGGCACCCATAATGTATACATGGTCGGCACCCATAATATATACATGGGCGGCACCCATAATATATACATGGTCGGCACCCATAATGTATACATGGTCGGCATCCATAATGTATACTAATGTATACATGGTCGGCAACCATAATGTATACATGGTCGGCACCCATAATATATACATGGTCGGCACCCATAATGTATACATGGTTGGCATCCATAATATATACATGGTCGGCACCCATAATGTATACATGGGCGGCACCCATAATGTATACATGGGCAGCACCCATAATGTATACATGGGTGGCACCCATAATATATACATGGGTGGCACCCATAATATATACATGGTCTGCACCCATAATATATACATGGGTGGCACCCATAATATATACATGGTCGGCACCCATAATGTATACATGGTCGGCACCCATAATTCATACATAGTCGGCACCCATAATGTATACATGGTCGGCAACCATAATGTATACATGGTCGGCACCCATAATGTATACATGGTCGGCACCCATAATATATACATGGGCAGCACCCATAATATATACATGGTCGGCACCCATAATGTATACATGGTCGGCATCCATAATGTATACTAATGTATACATGGTCGGCACCCATAATATATACATGGTCGGCACCCATAATATATACATGGTCGGCACCCATAATATATACATGGCCGGCACCTATAATGTATACATGGTTGGCATCCATAATATATACATGGTCGGCACCCATAATATATACATGGTCGGCACCCATAATATATACATGGCCGGCACCTATAATATATACATGGTCGGCACCCATAATGTATACATGGTTGGCATCCATAATATATACATGGGCAGCACCCATAATGTATACATGGTCGGCACCCATAATATATACATGGGCAGCACCCATAATGTATACATGGTCGGCACCTATAATATATACATGGGCAGCACCCATAATGTATACATTGTCGGCACCCATAATATATACATGGGCAGCACCCATAATGTATACATGGTCGGCACCCATAATGTATACATGGTCAGCAACCATAATATATACATGGTCAGCATCCATAATATATACATGGTCGGCACCCATAATGTATACATGGTCGGCACCCATAATATAAACATGGTCAGCACCCATAATATATACATGGTCAGCACCCATAATATAAACATGGTCAGCACCCATAATATAAACATGGTCAGCACCCATAATATATACATGGTCGGCAACCATAAGATATACATGGTCGGCACCCATAATATATACATGGTCGGCACCCATAATATATACATGGTCGGCACCCATAATATATACATGGCCGGCACCTATAATGTATACATGGTTGGCATCCATAATATATACATGGTCGGCACCCATAATATATACATGGTCGGCACCCATAATATATACATGGCCGGCACCTATAATATATACATGGTCGGCACCCATAATGTATACATGGTTGGCATCCATAATATATACATGGGCAGCACCCATAATGTATACATGGTCGGCACCCATAATATATACATGGGCAGCACCCATAATGTATACATGGTCGGCACCTATAATATATACATGGGCAGCACCCATAATGTATACATTGTCGGCACCCATAATATATACATGGGCAGCACCCATAATGTATACATGGTCGGCACCCATAATGTATACATGGTCAGCAACCATAATATATACATGGTCAGCATCCATAATATATACATGGTCGGCACCCATAATGTATACATGGTCGGCACCCATAATATAAACATGGTCAGCACCCATAATATATACATGGTCGGCACCCATAATGTATACATGGTCGGCACCCATAATATAAACATGGTCAGCACCCATAATATATACATGGTCAGCACCCATAATATAAACATGGTCAGCACCCATAATATAAACATGGTCAGCACCCATAATATATACATGGTCGGCAACCATAAGATATACATGGTCGGCACCCATAATGTATACATGGTCGGCACCCATAATGTATACATGGTCGGCATCCATAATATATATATGGTCGGCACACATGATATAGACATGGTCGACACCCCCTGCAGTTAAAATATTACCAGTCTGGCAATATATTAAATAGAAATTGCATAGTACTTGTCATGGAGGGTGGGGGGCGAGAATTATCTTCAGATACTGCTCTGCCTTCTAGGGTTCCCTGTGTCGGCAGTCTGGTGCCCCTGCTGCCAAGGCATCCTGTGCAGATGCACAGTTTGCACACCACAAAGACCAGCCCTGATCCAGGATCCAGCAAGAGCCATTATTCCTCAATTCGCTCAGGATCCAGTGGGAACCATCATTCTCTAATAAACACAAGATCCAGTGACAATCACCATTCTTCTATTAGCTCGGGGATAATAGAGAATAATCAATTAGTCAATAATCCAGTGACAGAGCCATAATTCTACAATTAGCCCTGAATTCGGTGACAATCTTCATTCTCAGTGAGAACCATCATTTTCCAATTAGACCACGATCCAGTGAGAACCACCATACTCCAATTAGCCCAGGATCCAGTAAAAGACATCATTCTCCAATTATCCCAGAATCCAGTGACAATACCAAGATCTGTGAAAGCCATAATTCTTTACTTAGCCAATATTCCAGTGATTTTTCCAGAATTAGCTCAGGATCCATCATTCTCTAATTAGCCCAGAATCATTTGAGAGCTATTAGGTTCTATTTAGCCCATGATTCAGTGACAACCAGTATTCCTCAATTAGCTCACAATCCATTGATAGTAATAAGTTTACAATTAGCCCAGGATTCAATAAGAGAGCCATAATTCTCTAATAAATTTAGGATCCAGTAGGGCCATAATTCTTCATTTATCTCAGGATCCAGTAGCGTCATCATTCTTCATTTAACCCAGGATCCAGCGACAAACACCATTCCACAATTATCCTAGGATCCAGTGAGAGCCAATATTCTTTAATGAATTTAGGATCCATTGAAAGCTAGCATTATTCAGTTAGCGCAGGATCCAGTAAGAGCAACTATTCTCCATTCACTGGAGTGCAAGAGAGCCATTGTTCTCCACAATTATAAAAAGGACAAGTGAGAGTGATTTTCACCAGTAATTAAGGATCTAATGAGAGCCGTGACTCTGCACAAATAGTCCAGGATCCAGTGAGAGCCATCATTCTCCACATGTAGTTCAGGATCCACTGAGAGCCATCATTCTAAAAGATTATGTCAGAACAATCATTACCCAGTTAGTCCAGGTTGTAACGAGAACCATCTTTCTCATTGTTAGTGCAGGATCCAGAGAGAACCATCCTTCTCCTGTTAGTGCAGGATCCAGAGATAACCATACTTCTCCAGTTAGTCCAGGATCTAGCGAGAACCATCATTCTCCATTTAGTCCAGGATGACATGAAAACCATCTTTCTTCAGTTAGTCCAGGATCCAGAGAGAACCATCTTTCTCCAGTTAGTGCAGGATCCAGATAGACCCATCTTTCTCCAGTTAGTCCAGGATCCAGTGAAAGCCATCATTCTACACAATTAACCCAAAACCGTCATTCTCCAGTTAACACAGGATGCAGGGAAAAACATATTTTTCCAGTCAGTCCAGGATCCAGTGAAAGCCATCATTCTCCACAATTATCCCAGAGCCATCATTCTCCAGTTAGTCTAGGATCCAGAAAGAACAATCCTTCTCCAGTTAGTCCAAGATCCATTGAAAGCCATCATTTTTGGTTAGTTCAGGATCCAGTGAGAGTCATTCTGTGCACTGCACTGCATTTACCCCAAGCCTCTGTCATATCAATCTACCATGTTCAAGAGCAGCCATGCTTCATTTCCATTTAGTGTGTCCGTACACTGTATCCTGCAGCATAATAAATTGTCTGCCAGACATGAACTCTGCTGAATGAATCCTACAGCTAGCCTAAAACAATCTGTGGTTCATGTCCTATATGTGCAATTCATCTTCTGCCACCGCAAGGTTGTCCTGCTAGTTTAGACAATACATGCGGTAATCGAATCAATAACATTTTAAAAGGAAATTTGGCAGCGTTGATGAGTTAATATATTCTTATGGGCATCGTCTAAGAAATATGGTTTTTTTTTGTCCTTGTTGTTAATTATACTAATTTGATGCAGTTTCTACAAACTACAGAATTTGATAGCATTGATTAAGGAATAGTTTAGGAATTCAGAATTACAATTCCTCTATAAAGCTAGTTTCACTTGCTATTGCTCTTCAAAATTAAAATGTCGCTATTTGTGAAAATATCAAAATACAAATCCAAAAATCATAATGCAGTGTTTGTGTTTTGTTTTTGTCTATTTATTTGTTTAAACCTATTACATTGAGTGGATTATGCTATGAATAATGCATTTACCAACTGGTAACGTTTATGAAGTATCCCAGCACAAATTTAGGAGATGGCAAAGTTGAGACATCAAGGTTAAAGCAATTGTATGACCTTCAGTTAGTACAAAATTTTGCGGAACACTCGGTCATGACCCTTCTTGGCCTATCAATGACTTTGAACAATTACATTTTAACTGTTCGTAAGAAGTCATTAGACTGGGTATAAATACTTATTTACATCGTTCTGTAACTTTAAGTTCTTTTTACAGGGATTTGTAATTTATTATATTAGTTTTATTACTTTAGCATTTCTTTCAAAACCTTGTTTTCTGTCAAACCTTGTTTAAAAAGTTTTCCTTGTGTCTTAAATTGGTATTAAAAGAAATGTTCCGGATAGTTGGCTATATTTCAATTTATTTTTTGTGTTTTATTACTTAACATTTTATTAGTGTCCTATAACATAAAATAGAAAGGGAATAATCAATATTGTAACTGTAAAATACAAACATTTGGTAATATAAAAAGTAAACAGCCATGCGTCCAAAAAGAAATTCAAACGGAACAATCAATATTACATGGATGTGTTCTAAGATTGGCTTGAGCACATTTATTAAGCCAAATTCATTTCATATTTTTAGTGTCTACTCTCATTTCTTGTACCTTCCAAAATCCATGGAAACAGCATTCCACATATTATACAATGTTCATTTACTAAAAACTTACAAGCGCAATCTTTAAACTTAAAGGGACTTGTAAAATCCCGTAATTTTTAATACTACGTTTATATATCCATATATTTAAAAAAATATTTATTTGTGAGATGTGAAAAATAAAATCAATTATAGACATTTTTGCCACTTTATCCTGTTACTGGGCACCTCCATCTTAGCTTCCTGTCAATCATTATTAGCATTGTCCTTTGCACCTGTCAGTCAGTATAGAGTGAGCATTCAGAAAAAAAGGAGGAATGAAACAATGTTTCTATTTCTCCTCATTAGCAATGTTTGCCCTGACTCTGCCTTGTCTGAATTGTATAATGACGTATCTACTACATTTTTTATATAAATTTAAAAGAAAACTGAGTATTTCATGGAAAAAAAAGGTTAACACAATTTATGTGTGAGTTTCAATGTTTTGTTGCAAATTCCACAGAAGTAGTAGTTCTCCTTTAATTAACTCTATTGAGCTGTCAGAGAAATAGGTAGAAAAAAGAAAAATGTGGTATAAGTTTGTGGATGGAAGATCCTCCACTCACTTGTTAGAATGGTATACATTACACCTCTACATGGATGAAAATAGTTATAATTAATAAACTTGCTAGTATTTTCTAAACAATGAGTTGAAGGAACTTGCAAAATGTAGACCAGAGTCTCTTGTTTAGCGCAACTCACAGTGGTTTGTGTTTTACAGTTACATGTGCTTTAATGCAAGGATGGTCAACATTAGAACTTAATCCTCCGTGATATTTTTTTAGTTTTAAAGGGGCAATGCGTGCACTATATCCACCACATGCCCATATCGTGGTTATGGTGCTATTAGGCTACGAGTTTAATCCCCCAGTTCTTGGTAAAACTATTTTCGAATAGTTTAACCAAACCAAACTGGCACTGCAACCTAAAACCTACTTGTAATGGCACCCGGGCATAAAAGGGGTTAAAAGCCGTGTAGTAGATCTTCCCTTCCGGAGACACAGGCACAGCTACTGCAGAACACCAAACTCCCGAACTGGATACAAGGGAATGCTCCAAACTCCTGAACTGCATACAAAATAGCACTCCAAACTCCCGAACTGGAACCTCACAAATAGCTGCTAGCAGACGAACAGGAAAAGCACCCAAGCGGCTTACACTCCTGGCAATCAGTCTCTAACAGCATAAAGTAAATCCCCCCAAAGACAAGACAGAGCTCTGTGTTGAGGGTCAAGCAGTGGTCTGGTTTATTGAGGGCTACCTGCCCGGTATTTATGCAGGTCTTTCACCTGGTGGACACTCCCCTAGGGAACCAGATGGAAGACTGGGACACAAATGGTAAAATGACCAATCACAGGCATACAGGGTTAAAACACTCCCACAGTACATTACAATCCCTTCCCTCTATCCTGGAGATAATTGGGAAGTAATCCAATTATCTCCAAGGACAGAGGCAAAACTCCATTGAGCACATGTTAGTAAAAAGACACAAAAATACACAATGTTGCAAATAATGAGTAAAACATATACATTCTACCTATCCCCAGATAGCTTAGATCTGAGCGCACATTATTACCGAATGGCGCTCAAATCACATACATACAGTTCAATCGCCATGGAGCCAAAGTCTTTCACATAGTCTTTCGTTACACGACTAGGCACCATGGCATGGCTAACACCGCTGGCTGTTCAGGACTTTAAAATGGCCGCCGCCACGTGTTCTGCAAACGAACAACGGCCACCCAGCATTCATCAATTAAGCTGTGGTTAACCGCAGCTTCTGGGAGGTCAATTGATGGCACACTCCAGCTCCCAGGTGGTCCAGTCATTTGTGCGTTTGTTCGGTACATTGAATCTACCGAACATCCTGGCAGAAAGGCACGAACAAGCCTTTCTGCAGGGGAAAATACAAGGTTTACCATGGGGCCATAGTCCAGAGGCAACAGGCGGGCAACCAGGCTCCTCCAATGCAATGTGGCAAGATTGGTCTCGTCACATCTCTCCCCTTTTCCAGACAGACTAACAGGTTATCTGACCTCCTGCCGGTCAGTGCCCTGGTTAGTCCAGCAGCCCACCCACAAAGCACAAACAGTAATACAGCCCACCCACAATAACTGGTTACTACACCTGGGTAGAGGAGAAACTTGTCCATGTCCAGGTGCCTCACTACGGCTGTGTGGGGGACTGGTAAGCTGACTTGGTGGGTTGCTGAGTGGGCAGAGACCAGCGGTACTCTGCCCTGGTGCCAGCACTACCACGGGATTAGTCTGGTTGGAGCCTGGTTGCTGGAGGGGTAGACCGACTGTCTCCCCTTTAGATACACAGCTCTGCTGCGGGAGGGGGAGACCGACTGTCTCCCCTTTGGATACACAGCTCTGCTGCTGCAGGGGGAGACCGATTGTCTCCCCTTTGGACAAGCCACCATGCTGCTGTGGGGGGAGACCGACTGCTTCCCCTTTGGCTAAACAGCCCTGTTGCTGGGTTACAGGACCGACCGTCCCTACCGCCTGTGCTGTAAGTGCAGAGATCACAGTCCCATCTGCACGGTTGTGAGGCTTACTGTCTCCCCTGGGTATGTCAAGCTGCCGCTGGGGAGAGGGGGTAACAAGCTCCTTTCCCATACATACTTCCAGCCGCAGGGGAGGGTGACCGACTGTCTCCACTCCCAATACAGTGTCCTGTTGCTGGGGAAAGGAGGCTGGCCTCTCTGTTCCCTGTAGGACACTCTGCCGCTGGGGGACAGGACCAACTGTCTCTGCCCCCTGTGACTCAGTCTGCCGCTGGGGAATGGAGGCTGGGCTCCCAATTTCCTGCATATCACACTGCCACTGGGGAATGGAGACTGGGCTCCCAATTCCCTGCATATCACACTGCCGCTGGGGAATGGAGACTGGGCTCCCAATTCACTGCAGTACCTGCCACTGGAGTTCCTCCCAACGTGCCAGCTGACTTTCCCTTTCTGCTCGGTATTACAGATTCTTGAACACTAGGTTCCTCATAAGATGCACCGATTTCTCCGGTGGATTGGGTCCGTAGTACTTTAGCCGCAATCCCATCATATTGTCAAACTCTTTCATAGAGTAGCTGTATGCCTCTGCTGGTTCCATCCTGGTGCTGTCAGGGCCGCTGTACTGGGACATGCGGTGCCCTCAAATTGTAAAATCCATGGAATGGTGTCTCCTGTAGCTGTCCTTCTGGCTGTGGGAACGATTCCGCCGCTTGCCACCAATTGTAACGGCACCCGGCATAAAAGGGGTTAAAAGCCGTTTAGTAGATCTTCCCTTCCAAAGACACAGGCACAGCTACTGCAGAACACCAAACTCCCGAACTGCATACAAAATAGCACTCCAAACTCCCGAACTGGAACTGGAAATCAGTCTCTAACAGCATAAAGTAAATCCCCCCAAAGACGAGACAGAGCTCCATGGCAATTGAAAATACAAGGTTTACCATGGGGCCATAGTCCTGAGGCAACAGGCGGGCAACCAGGCTCCTCCACATGCAATGTGGCGAGATTGGTCTCGTCACACAGCTGCCCCCAGGTTCTGCTTTCACCTTAAAATGGTTTGACTAAGAGCCAGAACCAGGGGACCGCACTCATTGCCCAATGACGTCATAAATACTCCACTGTCATGTAGTGGTTATGGTAGTTACACTAACCCTTTAAGGCTGACAAAACATCACCGAGCACTTACATTTTTTTTTATCAACCGTTGGCCTCCCCTGCATTCATAGATAGTTATAAATAATTATACCCTAGCTGATAATAGGCCAGAAAGAACAAGACCAGGAGGAAACCCTAAGCATCATCAGAATGCTTGGTTGTATAGGGAGAGGTATTAGCAGTAGAAAGAGGGAAGTGCTCATGCCATTGTACAGAACACTGGTGAGACCTCACTTGGAGTATTGTATGCAGTACTGGAGACCGTATCTCGAGAAGGATATTGATACTTTAGAGAGAGTTCAGAGAAGGGCTACTAAACTGGTTCATGGATTGCAGGATAAAACTTACCAGGAAAGGTTAAAGGATCTTAACATGTATAGCTTGGAGTAAAGACGAGACAGGGGGGATATGATAGAAACATTTAAATACATAAAGGGAATCAACACAGTAAAGGAGGAGACTATATTTAAAAGAAGAAAAACTACCACAACAAGAGGACATAGTCTTAAATTAGAGGGACAAAGGTTTAAAAATAATATCAGGAAGTATTACTTTACTGAGAGGGTAGTGGATGCATGGAATAGCCTTCCAGCTGAAGTGGTAGAGGTTAATACAGTAAAGGAGTTTAAGCATGTGTTGGATAGACATAAGGTTATCCTAGATTTAAGATTAGGTCAGGGGCTAATTAAAAGTATTTTGAAAATTGGGCAGACTAGGCGGGCCGAATGCTGTCACATTCTATGTTTCTATCTTTGTTTTTAATCAGTTTGGGCCATAAAGGTTAGCTCTTGTTATATGTGTGGCCCATGGGCCGACAATATAACAAATATTCATGTCTGCTTTTCAAATACATGGGTACATCCAGCATTGCTTTCTCTTTGCACAGCTTATCTTTCAGCCGGGCACGGACGATCCCCTCTTTCTAGGCAATGCCATTCAATGACCCGTTTTAAAATTCAGGAGGATCCTTACCTCCCCATAGAGGTGGGTGTGGATCCCAGAGAAATACAATCACAAAAAGCCCATATTTACAGCATAATGTGGCCAACTGGTGATGGTTGGGTCCGTAATAATTAGGCTATTGATGTGAACACCAGATTCGTACTCCACCGTCAGGCAGCCGTTGACACTTTAGCTGCTCTGTGCTCTGCCTACTGACAGGCTAAGCATGATGGGAGTTGTAGCCGACATCAAGTTCAATGCCACCACTTTATTCCTCTCTGCAGTGAAAAGGCAGCGAAATCAGGTCAAAACTCGACTGAAAAGGATAAAACACTTTCCGTAAATTCCAAACATAGCAATCACGTTTACGGTTGGGAAATAACATTTCGTTTTCCTAGGGTAAAGGTACATACAGTGTGATACGTCTGGAATGAAATCCTGAATAATTGTGTCCCTGCAGAATACAAAGAGATACAGAGCATTCGATCATACAAGGAAATGACACATTAATACTTCTAAAATAATACTTTCTAGACGGCACCTGTATGTGTAGATTAGCGTAAGGGCTGGCTTCATTGTATTAGCTCAGAAAAGAAAATCCTTAACCCTTTCCACCCATCAGTTGGGTTGTATCCAGTGTTGTAGGTATTATATACGATAATTAGATATGATAAGTACTAGTTACCGGATTGTTTCCATGGTAGTAGATAAATGAATTAGAATTAAAACTCACCTGCATACATGATTGACTCCATACACTGAATATCTCTCTACAGTAACATAAATAAATCAGTAGTATAAATGTGGGGCCCACCATTACCCTAATAATATTGAGTAAATATCCCCTTCCTCAGTCTGCACCCCATGGGCCAGTCTCCTAAAACCTAAATTGCTCAAATGGGACCAGGAGGTGCCTAATCTCTTGGTCCCAAGGGAGGTCAAGAGATGCTCAGTCTAATTACGATCTGTGGAGAGAATACGTGCAGTGTGGAGGGGGTAATGCCACCATTGGACACCTGTCACCAGCATGCTCTGTGTGCCATCACAGATGCACTAAATTAACATTAGTCACTGTGGCGGCTACCCCAGGAGGATGAGGGGTTTCACCGCCTGAGCCGTTCTTTTCCCCTGTCCAGAGTGATGCTCTCCGATTTCCCAGGATAGTATAGCTCTTACAAGAGCTGGGTGAGTATAGCATGTATAGCTGGTCCCTACAATCATGAGCTGATACTCTATGACAAGGGTAAGCAAGGAATGATTTATTGGTAGCCACACTGGCCTTTTATGCAATTCCCCATGCAAGGGCTACTCCCATATGGACCTTGTGGGGAACTTACAAGATAAAGACATAGACCAATGACAATGATTAAAGAACTCACATTCAGGAGAGCTATGGCCAGCTCTGGTGTGGATTGCGTACAGCGGTATAATCCCCGCTTATGGGATATGTAGGGAGGGGTCTCCGTCAGCACCGTCTGGTAGTCCAGAGCTCGAAAAAGAAAGACAGAAAGCAACAATAGTGCTCTCAATTTTGATGTGGTTCAATGTGCAGATAAGAAGAGGTAAAAAACTCACATTTGAGGGAGCTATGGCCAGCTCTGGTGTGGATAGCGTACAGCGGTATAATCCCCGCTTATAGGATATGTAGCGGCGATACGTCCGTCAGCACCGTATAGAAGAATATAGAAGAATAAAAAGCAGCAATAGTGCTCTCAATTGTGTTAGGTTAAGAGAGTAGTAGAGAAAATAAAATAATACTCACAAAGATAGAGCAGAGGTACTGCTCTATGGACAGGCGCCGGTGGTATGATCCCCACCTAGGATTTCTTGGAGTACTGGAACTTTAAAATTGCCAATGGAAGTAAAAGTAACCAGGAAAGGTTAAAATGCCAGGAATAGGTAAAAACAAAAGTTGTTTAAAGTGCATAAAGAGTGCAATAAAAAGAGGATTGGTACAATAAAGTAGCCAAAAAAACTTTTATTGATCTAAAATACACAGTAAAATACAGAATTAATAACCATAAACGCGTTTCACCATAAGTGGCTTCTTCAGAATGGGATTACCTCTGCTCTATCTTTGTGAGTATTATTTTATTTTCTCTACTACTCTCTTAACCTATCACAATTGAGAGCACTATTGCTGCTTTTTATTCTTCTATATTGGAGCCTTGGATCACCAGACGGTGCTGACGGACGTATCGCCGCTACATATCCTATAAGCGGGGATTATACCGCTGTACGCTATCCACACCAGAGCTGGCCATAGCTCCCTCAAATGTGAGTTTTTTACCTCTTCTTATCTGCACATTGAACCACATCAAAATTGAGAGCACTATTGTTGCTTTCTGTCTTTCTTTTTCGAGCTCTAGACTACCAGACGGTGCTGACGGAGACCCCTCCCTACATATCCCATAAGCGGGGATTATACCGCTGTACGCAATCCACACCAGGGCTGGCCATAGAATGTGAGTTCTTTACTTTTTGTTACCTATCACACCCTGAACTTTCATACTATACCATTAGTCGCCTCTACCTCTCTTGTATTTACATATACGGAACGGTCTACACCAGACGCATCCACAGAGGAACTCTATCAAGTATCCTAGACCATCTATTGGCACCCTAGCAATACTTTACTGGACTATCTACCCTTATTTGGCGCAGCCCTTCCATATCTTTTTGTATCTATCCACCGAAGGACCCGAGGGGTTTTCCTTCATTTGGGTTGCTGCCTACCTTGACTAATTTTGTGATTACTAGCGCTGAATTCTTTTTGTGTTTATCAATGACAATGATGTTCAGATGCATGACACTCCCATTACAATCATACAATCCCTCCCTTCTGCCTGAGAGATAATTGAGTCAGATATTGCACTAACTCAATTATCTCTAGGTGAAAAAGACCACAATTTGCAGGTAACCTGAAAGTACCCCAAAAGCTCACATAAACCCCACACAAGTTGTATCTCCTGATAGCCCCAATCTGGGGGAGCAACATATTTAAAAATCATTCAGATCGGTTCAGGGTTTAAAAGTTTTATGGAAGTCATGTTTCTGACCAACCACACACGAGGCTCCTGCCCAAAATTGTTCCAGAGATTCAGGCTGTGTGGTTGATCTCTATCAGGAACTCCAAACATAACGAAATACCGAACGGAACCATTCGTGAGCAGGCTAGTTGTGTATCCCTCATTCAGGAGTTTAGTTTCACTTAACGCCACTTTCATCTGATGAATGGGAATGAACATAAGTGGGAATGGAAGTTTCAGTAGTGTTCGGGCTGTCGAGTGTCCGATAATAGTTCCATGCACTCGACGACCAAACCCCGCTGGAAGCGTTCATTCGCCACCCAGCCGACCACTTAGAATGTTCAGGGATTGCGGTTAGAGAAGGTGTTAGGATGTTCAAGGGGGTAAACTAGCGACACATGACGGTCCTGGGTGGTCGGCCGGTTCGACAGTTTGTTCGGTAAATTCAGTGGTTCGTCAGTCACACATCCAAACATCAGTCGAGACTAGATGAAGGGTACAACAAGAATAATTTTATTCAGGCCAGATGGATGGCTTTTATGTAGTTCAGGAATACAGTATACACGCCCACAAAAGCTCCCACAATGACTCTGCATAAAACACAAAATATCAAAAATACATAAAAATACACATAAAACATATAGAAACCCCCATAAATATTATATACCCGGATAGCTTGGATCTGAGCGCTGAAGTTGTCAGAATAGCGCTCAGATCCCTCAAATACAGCTGAATCGCCCCCAGGGCAAAGTTTTAACCGACCGCTATGAGACGCCTGCCCAAAACAGTTCCATAGTTTCAGTGGTAGTGATCGATCACTTTCAGTGGTAGCGATCGGCACTTCATAT